TTAATACTTGGGGTTAATTATAAATTAGAATAAATAAAATAGTTAATGCCAAATTTGGGTCCCTCAAGTTTAGGGTTTTGTACAGTTTTTGTCTCTCAATTTTTTCATGCACTTTTCATTCCTCAACTATGAAAAATACAATTTCTTAATTTTTTTTGTTAGTTAATCTATTAATTATGTCCATATATACACATTTTTAATCCCTAAACTTTTAAGTTGGGGGAAGAAAACTATGTAAAACCTTAAAGTTGAGGGATTAAAAATGTGTATATATGAATAGACTTAATGGATTAACTGACAAAAAGTCTGAAAGAAATAAAAAAAAATATTTTTTTATAATTAAAGGACTAAAAAAATGTATAAAAAAGTTAAAGGATGAAAACTGTGTAAAACCCTAAAGTTAAGACATCAAAATTGGCATTTAACCTAATAAAATTATATCAAATGATATCCCTCCCTTATCTTCAATTCTTCTCCATCTCGCACTTCTCTCTCATAATTTACATTCCTTCATTCTCCCTCCCTTCTCAAGTGCCAACAAAGCCTTCGTCTCTTCTAGTGTTGGCCTATCATACTCCCTTCTCCTTTCTCTTGTCTCAAGGCAAGGAAGAATGAGCCAAATTGATCCAGATGCAAATTTGGTGTACTAGATTGGGTTATAAAGATTTTTTTAGTTCAAAGATAGCTTAACTCTTGAAATTTCATACAAAAAAAGTGTCCATTTTAGCAAAAAAATTCAAAATTGTGGTTTAAAATTTGTAAAACAATTGATATTTAAAATGAAATTATGATTTGAGGATAAAAAAGGTAGAAAAAAGTTAAAGGACCAATTTGAATAAACTTATAAAGTTGAGGGACTAAAAGAGCATTTAAAAAACTAAACTGGAAAATAGAGGGATGAGTTAGGGTATGCTTGAGATTATTGTGAAATGTTATGATTGTATATATGGCTGTGATTGTGTTGAACTACAATTATGACTAAAAGTTATTTAAATATTTGGTTATTTATTTTTTAAAAGTATTATAAATGAAATATGATAGATTTTATTAATTATTAATTAAAATTTAAAAAATATTGTGAGATATATAATTATTAAAATAGATAATATTTATTATTTTTT